GGTGGGTCTCGAACCCGTGGGGCTCAGGCAATCCACTCACCTCGGCCTCCCAAAGCACTGGGATCACAGGGCTGAGCCACCGAGCCCGGCCTGTACACTTTAAAAGAGTGAACTTTATAGTAATACAAGATAAATCTCAATACAGCTGTTAGTGTTCTTGTTACTATTATCGTTATTTTTTTCTTCTTTTTTTAGACACAGGGTCCCAAGCTCTTGCCCAGGCTGAAGTATAAAGGTATTATTTTTAAAAACTACCTCAAGTTTTCCATTTTTGTAAAAACAATTTCACCCATCCTTCTATGTGTATATATATGCACAGAGACTGTAGAATTCTAGTCACTGGATACTGACAGTTACTACTAGTAAGAAACAAGGTAATAGTTTCATCTATTTTTTTTGAGTTGGAATCACACTCTGTCACCTAGGCTGGAGTGCAGTGGCACACTCATGGCCACCACAGCATTGACCTGCTGGGTTTAGGCAATCCTTCTACCTCAGCCTTCCAAGTAGCTGGACCCACAGGTGCAGGCTACCACGCCTTTTTTTTTATTTATTGTAGAGATGAGGTCTCACCTAGTTGCTAAGGCTGGTCTCAAACCCCTGGACTCAGGTAATCCTCTCGCCTCCGCCTCCCAAAGAGCTGGGATTATAGGCGTAAGCCACTGCATCCAGCGACAGTCTCATCTTTTAAATATAATGCATGGTTTGAACTCTTTTATAAAGAATTTTTATAAAACAATAAATTATCTTTTTTTTTTTAGTTGGAGTCTCACTCCATCGCCCAGGCTTGAGTGCAGTGGCGCACTCATGGCCACCCCAGCATTCTTTCACCTCAGTCTTCTAAGTAGCCGGATCTATAGGCGCATGCTATCACGCCCGGGTAACTGTTTGATTTATTGTAGAGACACGGTCTCACCAAGTTTCCTGGGCTGGTCTCAAACCCATGGGCTCAGACAATCCACTCGCCTCAGCCTCCCAAAGTGCTAAGATTACAGGCTGAGCCACCAAGCCCAGTCTTTTTTCTTTTTTTTTTAAAAAAAGCAAATTTATCCTCCCACCTTGGCCTCCCAAAGTGCTGGGATTATAGGCATAAGCCACTGCCCCAGCTATTTTGATAGTTTTTAAATCAAAAAATTATTTTCTGAGTCATGTAAATTACATACATTTTAAACAGGATTAGAAAGGTATTTCAGATGCTTTGATGACAACAAGCATGGTTTCCTGAGAGAAGGCAGGCAGACAACTGAATCTGGACACCTCCAAACACCTCTTAAGAAGCCGTGTAAACTGGGGGTCAAAGTAATTGTGGTGAGATAATTATAAACTTAGCTCTGTTGTATAGCATCTTAATGACTTTCCCACTCACATCTTTTTCATTTTCAACGGTTTCACTTCAACCTATACTCTTTCAGAGGCTGATGGTATCCCAGATTCTCCAAGAAGCCGAGAAATGTGTCAACTATAGAGTAATCATAGGGTTATATGGAAATCACTTACTTAGACATGTTCTGGGCCTTCTCGATAAACTTCATCACCTAAAAGAAAAGATGCCAATTACAACAGGATCTGATTTCAATGCAAATCACAGGGCCCCCTCCAGGTGGCCAGCCTCATGGGCACTGTCACCTGCAGGACCTCTCTGTTCTCAGTCTTCAGACACCAAGAGCTGCTGACTGAACTGAAGCACAGCTGCATCAGCAGCACTCAGCCACAGCTGGACCGCAGCACGGATCTCAGATGCTGAGACCTGGCCTGTGAAGTCACATCTCTTGGCGCTTTGGTAAAATGCTAATAGTCTATCTCATGGAGTGACACCAGAGTAAAAAACGAATGATTACAAAACCTTCTTATGGCCAGGTATGGTGGCTCATGCCTGTTATTCCAGCACTTTGGGAGACGGAGGAAAGAGGGCTGCCTGTGCCCAGAGGTTCAAGACCAGTCTGGCCAACTTGGCAAGACCTAGCCTCTATGGTGGCGTCCCTGCTACTTGGAAGGCTGAGGCAGAAGGATCACCTGAGCCTAGAAGGTCGAGGTTGTGATAGCTGTCATGAGTCTGCCACTGCACTCCAGCCTGGGTAACAGACTCCTACTCAAAAAAACAAAAAACAAAACCCAAAAAACTTTCCAACCCATGCCTGCTGATCCATCACATTCCCTGGTCCCATCCCATCTTCAGGGTAGCATCACAAGCAAAGAAAGAGTAGGTCAAGAAAAACACCCAGGTCTCTTGGATTTTTGCTCTATTGCCTGGCACAGATATTAAATGTGACACTTGCCTACCACAACGACTACTATCTTCTGTATTTACGTCCAGGTTTGCGGCTCTTCTCTACCAATGTAATCAATCTAAAGCATTTAAAAGCCACGGCCACATCTATATATTAAAGGCAGACATACCTGATCAAATCTGGTAGCAAAGAGATTGAGTGAGGTCACTATGCCACCGTTGGGTCCAAGTCCATATCTAGACACTAAGTTGAGGACTTAAATTGCTTATACATTATAAAATTCACATCTAGGGTATCAATCACACAAACGGCATTATAACATTAGAGTTCCGATAATGGATACCGGCCACCTAATCCATGGCTCCCACAGAACTTAACCACACAGGAAAACATTCACTATCAAGGTCTTGCTCAATCATTTATCTTGCTAGGGATGGCCAGGCAAAACGAAGACAGCAAAGTGACCAAATGTAATAGACAGATGCATCAGGCAATGACAGCCTGCTGGCATTAGCCATTAAGACCATCTATGGGCCGGGCTCAGTGGCTCAGCCTGTAATCCCAGCACTTTGGGAGGCTGAGGCAAGAGGATTGCCTGAGCCCGTGGGTTCAAGACCAGCCCGGGCATCTTGGCGAGACTTCGTCTCTACAATAAATAAAAAATTAGCCGGTGTGGTAGAGTGCACCTATAGTTCCGGCTCCGTGGAAGGCTGAGGCGGAAGGATCACTAGAGCCCAGCGGGTCAACACTGGGGTGGCCTTGAGTGTGCCCATTGCACTCCAGCCTGGGCAACAGAGTGAGACTCCAACTTGGAAAAAAAAAAAGATCATCTGTATAATACTTCTTGCTGTGATCCTCACCATCAATCAAGTAGCCTGCCAATCATAATCAGTCCTCCTACAAAGACTTACCTACAGAGGAATATACTTTTGACACAGCAGTGTACTAGAAATTAGTCCAACTGAGCACACTGAGTTTCCCTGTCTAAAGAAATGGTGACCAGCTGATGATGTCCCAAGACAATACTACCCTCTGGGACCCAGGCAGCTGTCAGCCATCCTCTCATTTTCTGTGCTGTCTAACAGCCTACAGTTGAAGGAGACGGCAAGAAAACAAAAATCACAAGCTGAAATCATATTTCTGATCACTCGCAATACCTCTCCCACATTCATCCTCCATCCTCCTAATAAAATTACTTTAAAACAAGCAGAGCATTTGTTTCTATATTTCACATGGAAAAACAAGAACTTTCTTTTTTTATTTTATTTTTTTTGATTCAGAGTCTCGTTCTGTTGCCTATGCTGAAGTGCAACAGCACGTTCATGGCTGGGAAAGCCTTGACCCTCAGGGGTCAGGCAATCCTTCTGCCTCAGCCTTCCAAGCAGATGGAACTACAGGCATGCACTACCATACCCAGCTAATTTTTTGACTTATTGTAGAGATGAGGTCTCACCAAGTTGCCCAGGCTGGCCTCGCACCCCTGGGCTCAGGCAATTCTCTCACCTCCCCCTCCCAAAGTGCTGGCATTACAGGTGTGAGTCACCACGCTGAGCCAAGAACACTCTTTCAAAACTATAAAATATGCAAACAAAGTTAGCAAGGAGTAAGTGAAAACCAGAGTAGATGTGGAAAAGGATACTGTTTCATGACTTCTTTATACTTCACAGTGTCACGAATATCTGAAAGGAAAAAGAAACAGAATTAGCAGGAATTTAATATACCTTCCCCACCAGCAAGGAACTAAAACTAGCCTTTTAGCCTTCTTTTGTCAGCATTCTCTTCTACAAACTTCTCCACTTTCACACTGGTTTCCTTCCTCAAAAATAATAACTGCCAAGAAACCCATGAATGATGTTAGGACTAGGAGCTCTCAAGTTATGGAAGAGATGGGCTCAGACAAGGTGAAAAGTTTTATGTGATTTAAACATTAAGGTGATATAAGGAGGGGGAGGATTAGGCCAGCGACATCCTGGAAATCAGGAATCCTAGATCCTATCAAGAACAATGACACTACATCACGCCTGTTCTGAATCTTTGATATACTCACAGACACCTCTCTGAGTCTGGTGAAAACTGGAACCTCTCGTCAGAACAAGGCACAAGTGCGTGTGTGCATATATACACATACATATACACACACACACACATTTTCCCCTGTAACTCTGGGAATGGAAGCAATTCATACACACCAATAAGTAAACTACAGCAAGAGAACCCTTCTACTCTAAATTCTGAGAAAAGAAACAAAATGAGGAAGGCTTACGTAGCAGAGTCTACTGAAGACCTTATGGCCCAGAAATGAGGACTGACTTTCTGTCATCTACTTTCCCAGATAACAATAACTTAACAGTCTAGGGTGGGAGAGGGGAAAGGTAAAGATGAATGAATGGGAAAGAAACAAACATTTAGGAAAGGGGGAATAAAAGGTGAGAAAATGTGAAAGAAGCCTGTAGAGGGACTCAAGCAAACCCAAGGAAAATAAGAATAGATCGGGTAGAAAAAAACTGAAATGAAGGAACTGAAGACTGGCAGGCGGGCGGTTCCATCCTCTCTGAAGCACCTCGCAAAGTAATAATGGGGTTCACTCACCAATATTGGCAGGAAAGGGAACTTCGTGCACAGCTGGGTCCAGGTTGATCACATACGGCGGACAGCCTTGGCTATGCAGATGTCCCGTGAGCCTCTGCAGAAACACGGGGAGCGGTTGGAAGGAGCCGAAGAGGGGACCACAGGGGACAAAAGGGAACTTCCATTCCCTCATCGACCACTCCTTAAGACTCCTGCACTTAGAATTCCTTCCACCTGAAATACCCACCTCCTACGCTCGCCTCCAACGGTGCACGCTCCGTTCACACGCTAACTTTATCGGTCCTGCACCTAGCAGAGCCTCCCCTACTCCTCCTCACTTGCTTACTGGTTACGATTGTTCACAGGTAGGCTTTTTGCCTTCACCAAAAACTTCGCTCCACGAATGAGAAAACCTTGTCAACCTCATTCTCGTCGTATCCCTAGTCCCCGAACCATGACGGGCGCGCAAGGGATAACTCTGGCAACTCTTCGCTGAACACCGGTGTGCTGGCAGAGAACGGGTCCCTCGAGTGGCTCGAAAGCCCTGGCCATGGAGGGGCGGCACTCCCATCGGCGATCAATCCGTGCGCCGCGCGGTAGGCCGCACCGAGCGGGCTGAGAGGGCCGGGACCAGCCGGGCTCGAGCCGGAGAAAGCTTCGCTGGGGAAGGAACCGCGGCCGACCGACAGTCCCCGAAGGCCACGCGCCGGCGCCCTAACTCCCGGGACCCTTCCCTGCCTCCGCGCGTCGCAGCCCCTCGCGCGCACCCCCCGGGACCGCCGCGTTCGTCACCTGTACAAAGGTCGTCTTCCCGGACCCCGCCATTCCCAGCACCAGCAGACACACCGGGGACCGCGCGCCGCCTGGCGCCTGCGTCTCCGCTGCTGCCTCGGGTGCCGCCATCTTCCTCCCGTCCCCGCCCACCTACCATAAGGACGCCGCGGGCCAAAGGGGTTTCCGCCACGTCCCGGCGACCGGAAGTGGGCGGGACGGTCGGAAGTGGGCGGGTCGGTCGGAAGTGAGCGTCGGGCGGTTGCCCGCGCGTCTTAACAACCGGCAGGTGGTCGCAAGCGGTGACGGAGCCGGGACGTGCGCGCCCGGCGGGAGGAAGACTGGCCGCCTAGGGCCGGGCCTGGGAGAGCCGACCCCAGTTCCAGAAGCACCCGACCACACGGTACCCCCCCGGGCGGGGGACCTGCAGGGAGAAGCCGCGGGCCATCCCGGACGCCGGCGAGACTGAGCGGTTCGGGCCCGGGCCGGCGGGGACCAGAGGAAGAGACGACCTCCGGGGGTACCGGGCGGAGCAGCTGGGAGGACACCCCGCGCCTGGTCGCTGCGTCGGCGAGCCGCGGGCCCTGGGCCCTGGCTCCGTGGCAGGCGCCCCCGGCGAGCTCCGTGTCGGGGACGAGCGCCGGGACACCGGGGACAGCAGGTACCCGGGGTTTCGGGAAGGACGAGGAAAGAGCCGAGGTGGTCTCTGCGCCCGGCCACCCAGGCTGCTCCCGTGGCCCTCTGTGGCGGCCGGTGTCGCGTTCCGCACGCGGGCTCTGCCTCTCGCCAGTGGCGTGGGTCGCGGGCAAGCCACCTGAGCTTTTCGGACCTGCTTTCCCCTGCTCAAAAGTGATAGCACACCTCTCGCCTATTCCCCATACCTTGCACGGTGGCTGGAATGTAGTGGTGCTCAGAAATTTTCTTGTATGACGGAAAGACAATTGCGCATTTAGTTACTAAATTTTCATGAAGAACTGATAGAGAAATGTCTCGTTTGTTGTTCTTTCAGGTTTGCTGAGAACCACAGTAGTTGCCCTCCATCTCTTAGGCTGATTAATAACTTTTTCAAGCCAGGAAAGCTAATGAAGGCCAAGACAAGGTTTAAAGAAAAGACAGTGGAGGAACTCAGTAAGCTGAACAGGCAAATAAAACAAGTTCAAATCCAGCAGGAGCCACTATTAGAGGAATACAGGCAGCTACGTGTGGAAAAGTCAGCTGTTCAAGCTGAAAACAAATTTTTTCTAGAATACCTGAATAACAAAACTGAGGAGTGCAGAAAGCAACCTGAGAAGCTGTGGAACAACTATTTACAAAAAAGTGGGGAGATTGAACGAAGACGACAAGAATCAGCCTCCATATTTGCAAAACAAACTTCAATGCTTAGAACAGAGCTCTTGCAAAAGGAAAAGATCCAATTCAATTTGAAGCACCAGTTGCAGGCAGTGAGGGACATTTCTTTAATAAAGGAGAAACAGGAGATGGAAATACAGACATTACAGGAGGAGAAAAAAAAAGTCCAAGCTGAGACAGCTGCCAAAAAACAGAAAATACAGGTCCATTTTCTCGAGGAAAAAGCATTACTGGAGAAACAGCTGAGTGAGCCAGACATGAAGCAGCTGGGAAAGAGAGAAAGAAGAGAGCTTAATAGGAAGGCCCAGGCCTTGGAGTTGGCAGCAAAGCAGTTTATTTCTGAGTTCTCCCGTGGCATCAACAGAGAGAACCAGCAGTTACGGCAGGAATTACTGCAGCTAATGCAGCAATCCCAGAAGTTAGCAGCTACTCAAAGCCACTTAAGAAATTGTAAGGATCATCTGCAGCAGGAACAGTGGTATCTGGAGGGCTTAATCCGGGGGAGGCGGAAATGGCAAGGAAGGCTTAGCTGGTGGTATCTAGGCAGCCAAGATGTTGCCCAGACCACACTCGGCCCTGCCCTGGGCTCCAAATCAAGCATCAGTCCAGATGCTAGGTTCCTCAAACAGCACATTAAATAAGAACTGGTGCAAGTACCCTTTGGGAACTGCATTCGCATGGTTAGGAAGGCTTTTGGATCTTAAGACTGCTATCATAAAGTATCCATCGTGATGTGCTGATCTGAAGGATAAGGGCAGTCCTGGCTTTGAACAGCTCTTGATAACAAGATGTTCCACAAAACTCAAGTTAACCTAATACATGACCCTACGCAAAGACCTAGCCATTTACTATACATCAAACTAGCTCAAAAGAAAACTAACCTGAGAAGTGAAGGGAAAACACTTGTATGATTTCAGCTGGCTAAATTAGGTTTCCTTGTTACAGAGAAAGTACCTTTAAGGGTAGCATTTCAGATTGCTTTTCAGTAGTGCTTTCTCGTTAGTAAATAGCCAGTATGTTTATCCTCATTCCTGTTGATCAACTCAGCGGACAAAAGCAGAATGTTTAAATTTTAAAACTGTTTTTGAAGTTTGTGCTAGTGACCAGGTAACTCCTTCTGTAGCTGTCTCATGAGTGAGAAAGTATTCCGATAATAGCAAGTCCAGTAAGTGTGTAAACTGAGAAGGCGAGAAATGAAGGGGACATGTATTAGCTCAGCTCTTACTTTTGAAACTTTCCTCTGAAGAAATACCTCTAGCACTAATGAGGTGGTTATGTGCCTGCTGATTTCAGGAAAATGTATCCAAATAAAGCTTTAAAATACTTGGATATTTTTAAGAGCCTTGCGCCATCCATTTCCCTAGAAGCTTCCACATTCTGACAAGTAATATTACTTCAAGCTTATAAGTACTTTAGTTTTAGGTCATTTGCTACACTTTATTACAGGTACACCTTATGATACATGTAGTCTATCACATTAAAATGTGCCTTATATTTATGTCCCTTTAAAAGAACTAGAAGTCATATTTTAATCTAGGTTTTGAGAGTGACATATTAAGGTTAGACCAGTGATTTACTTGAGTGCAGAATTCTAGTATAGGAATACAATCCCATATGTTAACATCGTTCCTCTATGGGAAGACATGACCAACTTTATTTTCCAAAAATTGCTAGTGATGAAAAATTTCAGAGCAATTTCCCTACATTTTTGCCTTTATTTACATGTACAGTGGGAATTCATTTAAAATTAGATTTAAGAATTATTCTTCAGTGTACCTTTAACTTCTAGTTTTCAGAAGTTTTCTGTTATGTCTGTAGTTTCTAGACTGGGCGTGGTGGCTCATGCCAGCAATCCCAGCACTTTCACAGGCTGAGGCAAGAGGACTGCCTGAGCCCACAGGTTTGAGACCACCCTGGGCAACTCGGCGAGACCTCACCTCTACAAGTTAAAAGATTAGAGGCCGGGTGTGGTGGTTCAAGTCTATAATCCCAGCACTGTGGGAGCCCAAGGCGAGAGGACTGCCTGAGCCCACAGATTTGAGACCATCCTGGGCAACTTGGCAAGACCTCATCTCTACAATACATCAAAAAATTAGCATGGTCGTATGCGTCCATAGTTCCAGCTACTTGGAATGCTGAGGCGGAAGGATCACCCGAGTCTAGTAGGCTGAGGCTGCAGTGGCTGTGAGCATGCCACTGCGCTTCAACCTGGGCAACAGACTCCAACTCAAAAAAAAAAAAAATGAGCTGGGTGTGGTGGCGCACGCATATAGTTCCAGCTACCTGGAAGGCTGAGGCGGAAGGACCACCTGAGCCCAGCAGGTGGAGGCTATGGTGGCCATGAGAATGCCACTGCACAGAGCGACAGAGACTGACTCAAAAAAAAAAAAAGTTCCATTTTTAATTGTTTTATTACAAAATACATTTATGACTAATATATCCATTGACGTTACTGTTCCAATATAATTTTTCTACTTCCCTCTACTCTTATCACTCGAGCATGTTTTATACTAGTGTGCAAATACAACTGTAGTTCTAACGTAGAAATTAGAATAGTTTTAGATAGCATGCAGTTACATCAACCTAAATACTTCAGTCTGAGTTGAAAATACAGAAAAACTGAACTTGGAAAGTATCGTATACAAGCAAATTAGAAGCTGTATTCTCTGTGGATGAAGAAGCCCTGGGAAAATGTATTTCTAAGGCTGCTAAAATGATGGAAAGTACCAGCATTTACACAGCAACTACTAAGTAAACTAAAAAGGGATTAAAAAAAGATGGACAGTAGGAAGAATCTTAGAGCCTTACTATTCCACTGTACATTGCTCTCCTGCCATTCCTGTCTGGATTTTTTAATTCAGGAGTGGGTGACTTCCATCTGATCTGTTTAATTGCTATCATCCCAGATAATGGATGTGGTATACTGTTTGTGGCTGTCCCTTCCAGAGTGAGGGCTAAAGACATTAAAGGGTGAATCGTATATGATAAGGTACTTTGAAATCCCCACCCCAGTGTGACCAGATTGGGCAACTAAAATCTCAATCTACTTTTCTGTCTGCTATAAAGAAAATTAAACAGGGTTATGTTGCAGAAAGTGAAGACCTCTGAGGTGTAACTCAAAACCTGAATGATAAAATGAAGCCTGCAGTGCAAAAATTGGGGAAGAAATCATTCCAGGAAAAGGCAACAGTGAATGAAAGGCCCTGAGACAGGCAAAAGCGTGGTAGGTTCAAGGAACAGAAAGGTGCACATGGTCAAGGTATGGCTGGGGAATGATCGGAGGACAAGGGCAGGGAGAGGCAGTAGCTAGTGGGAGTGTATTACAGTGGTGTTACAGTCCAAAGGCTTTTAGCAGGTAAGGTCTGATTCACAATTTTAGAACTCACTAGAGCTGGCAGTGGGGTGTATCAAAGCCAGAAAAAAAGTAGAAGTCAATTAGGAAGCTGATGTGGCCTAGGCAAGAGGTGATGGTTCAAATTGGGATGGAAGTAGAGTGAACAGATCAGAGATTTACTTGGTGACACACAGGACTTGCCAATGGATCTGCTACGAGGAGAGAAGAAAAATCAAGTACAATTCGTTCCCAGCCCAAGCATGTGGATGCACACTAGTGCCATCTGCTCGAGTCGAAAAGAATCAACTACAGGGTGAGGAAAAATCAAAAGTTAAGATGAAGCAGAAATGTATCTCTAAAGTGTTCCCTTTTGAGGAGCTAAGCAGAATATTTTTTGTGTGTTAACTTTTAAAGAATACTTCAGACATACACAAAAGTATAGTAAGTTACAACAAACTCACCACCTTAAGAAATAAATTAAATATTGAGCTAAAGTCCCTTTGGATGCCAGAAGCACTATCCGAATTTTGGTGTTTATTATTCCTGTGCATCTTTTCATATTCATACAAATATAGGTATTTATATATCCATAAATAATATAAAGCATTGCTTTTGCATGTTTTAAACCTACAAATGACACTTGTATTCTGCAACTTGCTTTTTCTAGACACTTTTTGAGATATACAGGTGCCAAAAATATACACATTTTAGGATATTATCTATTACTTTTCACAGTTGAATTAAATTACAGTAGCATTGTGTACTACGATGTCTACTCAACCGTGCTTCTGGCAATTTGTCTTGCCTTTCACATGGTGACACTAACATTCATTTGATTAATGCCATCTTTTGGGCAAACGTCATACTTAAAGCTGCATGCATTTTTCTGGCACACCTCTATTCATGATAATCCAAGAAGCTCTAGTTAATTTTACAGCTTGTATAGTATTCTGCTGTGTGACTATATCAAAGTTTATCCATTCTCCTGGTTATAGACAATTAGGTTGTATATTAGAGAATGTTTAACATGTTAAATCACTCATTTCTTGCTCGCATAATAGCCTCAGATGTGCCTGCTGACAAGTTGCTCTCCTTCATAAGTAATGCAGGGAGTCAATGGTCTTCCATTCTGGGATCTCTAATCCCATAGGGCCTCATTTAGCCATAAGGGAAAGAAACCATGGAGGAATGCTCAACTCTTAAAAGTTTTAGTCTAAGGCCGGGCGCACTGTCTCAAAGCCTATAATTCCAGCACTTTGGGAGGCCGAGGCGAGAGGATTGCCTGAGTCCAGGAGTTTGAGACCAGCCTGGGCAACGTGGTGAGACCTCAGCATTTTCACTTACATTCCATGGGAGAGAAATCACCTGGCGACCCCTTCAATGAGGAGAGTGGGGGAAGGTGGAAGACTAGGAAATACAGTCTAGCTGTTTGTCCTAAAATCATCTAACTTTTGAAGCAGTTCGCGGCCAGGCTTGGTGGCTCAGCCTGTCATCCCAGCACTTCGGGAGGCCAAGGCGAGTGGACTGCCTGAGCCCGTGGATTCGAGACCCACCTGGGCAACTTGGCAAGACCTCGTCTCTACAATAAATAAAAAACTAGCCAGGCATGGTAGCGCGTGCCTGTCGTCCCAGTTGCTTGGAAGGCTGAGGTGGAAGGACCGCTGGAGCCCAGCAGGTCGATGCTGGGGTGACCGTGAGCATGCCACTGCACTCCAGCCTGGGCTATGGAGTGCCACTCCAACTCAAAAAAAAAAAAAAAAAATGCAGTTCTCTGTCACACATGTCCAGGACTTCTCTACTGCAAACTATACTGAGGGAATCATTCTTCCATGTCTCCTGGTACAGCTGGGCAAGAGGAGTTTCTCCGAAACTACCTTGGAGTGAAACAGCGGAGTCTTCAACTATACCTTCAACTCTACTAGATACTGCCAAATCTTTCTCAAAGCGATTCTAACAGTTTATGTTCTAAACCACGTATGAAAGTTCACACTGTTCCACAACCCAGATATACCTGATATTGTCAAACTTAGTTTCTGTCATTCTAATGAATTAAAATATTTAAAAACTCAGTCATGTGGTTAGTATAGGCTACACTGAGTCCGGCTGAGCCCTGGCCTCTCTAAGGAAAAAGAACAGGAGTGCTGCAAGGATCCTGAATGGGACAGGGCAAGTTTCCCATACCAATTCATTTTCATCTCAAAATACTCACTGTAAACCAGTAGATTTTAGGAGCTAAAGGACGACTGACACACCTGCACACTGAACTTGCTTCAAACTTATCCCCATCCCTAGCCATCTTCTTACCCCCATATGGAGTCAGCAAGGAGTCCCGCAGCAGGTCAGAGTCAAAGAACAACTGGCAACATCATTCTGAGAATCATTTATTTCTTTTGTCATTGCCAAACATTCCCCAGGTCTTACTCACCAGAAATTAACAAAGCTTCTTCACTTCTCATCCCTGACAACCCTCATCTACTGAAAGGGCTTTAAGGGCACACTGCCAATGAAAATGCAGAGCGGATGTGCCATGTCCTGTACTTGTTTCACCACTACCTGTTCTGGCAGGACCCCATTCAAATTTCAGTGCTCCCTTGTTTGAAAGTGGTCTTCACAAAAGCCCACGTTTTAAAGCTATCTGGAGGAGCACAGAGAACAGAGAGTTGAAGCGTGGCGACAGCCTTCCAGAAGTTGAAAAGGTAGTACCTGCCCTTACCAGGGTTAATTTATATGTGGCACATGCCACAAAGTAGGCAAGAATATATAAGACCAATATTTACGCAAAAGGGGAGAATCCAGAAACACGACAACAAAGCTGCTCTAACCAGTGCTCCAGAGAAAGCCACCCTCAGAGAAACAGCCCATTAAACATTACCAGGTAGGCAGTAGGTACAGAAAAAGAAATTTTCTTTCCAGCTCCAGAGAAATATCTACATCTGGTGTCAAAGACTCAGGATATAAAGAAGATAGAACTCCATATGCAAAATAGGATACAAGGACAATATTCTCAGGAAGTTTCAAGAGACAGAGGTTGACTAAAGAGAAGGATGAGGACTTAGCAGGTGTAGACTCACAAGTGAGGTAAAGTTCAGAAGAAAAGGAATTGCACCTTGGTCTCCAGTCTTAGTGGCATTACCAGGGGTTCCAGGAAACTGAGTAAAAACATGTGGGGCCATATGGCATTTTTCAGTACTTGAAACCAACGAAGCAAAAGTCAAAAGGGGGGCAACTGATACTAATGAAACTTCAGGCCCCAGGAAGTTGAGGGCTGTATTTATTGCTGCTTCTACTTTTTCTTTCCAACCATTTCAATGCCTGGGTCACATTATTCCTGAGGCTGCTTTTTCGATCTGTGGGTCTAGTCACTGCTACCTGGTACAAACAAAGCATTTCCGAGTATAACCAGTATAGAAAGGTTCTAGCTTTCTCATTCTAAGTCCACTTTCTTTCAATTCTAAAACCACATGGAGAGGACACAAAGTCTCCATAAGTTTGTTTCCCAAGAAGACATGGTAACTTATTATATGAGTGACAACAGTTCTAGCTTCTAGGTTTATTATATCACAAATACAAAACAGTATATCAGTCATGGTTTTAAAAATTAGTTTGGAATGGTTTTATGAGCTAGATGGTAGAACAGCTACTAAATCAATGGAGCTTTCAAGAACATTCTACACCCCAGGAAGGAAAGGACGACCAAACAGGTTTCTTGTACAGAGCAGGAGTAGCCTACAGTTGGCCTTAAGAGAGAGCTCTTTGGGCAAGATAAGAGAAAAACAAGAGGACTCCAAGGAGGAACAGCAGGAAAACCTACTTAAAGGGGGGAGGGAATGAAAGTGAACCAGAAGTGAAGACAGTGAAATGTACATAGGAGGAAGGAGCTGAGAAAGTCACGGCCTCTCACCGGCAGCGGAAGAAAGTTCCCTCAGCCCCTCAACTCCATTCCCCGCATAGGTCCCGTAACAACAGCATTTCATCCGCTCTCCTAGCAGCACCTGCACTGCCTGCCTATTTCCTTCCTCGTTTATGGTTAGTCTTTGGGGGCTTTACTTTCTGGAGCGCTGGCACTGGCTCCTGCTCTGGTTCCTTGCAGGAGCTTGACACTCCCAGGTCCTGATTCCTCCTCTGATCCTTGCCTGCTCTAAGACTCAGCTCTGCCTCAGGAGGCTCCATGCTAGGCTGCTGCTGCCTTCGCAGAGACCTTCTGCTCTGATGCTGCTGCCTCCGTCTTTCTTCTTCTTGCTGCCGCTGCTTGATCTTCATCAGCTTTTCAAAGCTTTTGGTGGTTGTTGGGTTTACAACGAACCAGTCCTACCGAGGAAAAACAGACATCGGTCAAAAGCATGTTGAAGAGCACAAAGAAGGGGTAGGAAGATGAAGATATGATGAGGGCAGAACACAGTAAGAACGAAGAGACGTGGAGCCATGCCTGAGAACTAGGCATCTAAACAGAAGAAATCCATGACAAAGCAGTTATCGTGAGCGTATGTTGTGTGAGGCATCATTCTGGGTACTTAAGTGCATGTTCGATTATGTCTGTTTACTTAACATGCCACTAGCATAAAACCTCAGCATGAGGGGGGAAGCATTGAGCCACAGGGATTTTATTCTCATGTGGAGCAGAGAAGAACATGGACTTTACAGCCAAATCACCTGGGTACAAACAGTTCCGTTTTTAGCTATGTGACATGGAAAAACTGCTTAACCTCGTTTTACTTTTTTTGAGTTGAACCTCCTCTTACTTTTATGTTATTTTTATTTTTGAGTCAGACTCTCACTCTGTCACTCAAACTGGATTGCAGTGGCACGCTGACGGCCACAACTTCAACCTGCTCGGCTCCGGAGATCCTTCCGCCTCAGCCTTGCAAGTAGCTAAAATTATAGGTGAATGGCACCACGCCTGAATAATTTTTTATTTATTATAGCCACAGGTCTTGCCAAGTTGCCCAAGCTGGTCTCAAACTCTTAGGATCAGGAAATTCTCTTGCCTGGGCCTCCCAAAGTGATGGGTTTACAAGCGTGAGCCACCGCGCCCAGCATACTTAACATCTTTGAGCATCAGTTAAAAAACAAAGAGCCAGGGGACTTGCTAGGTGTGGTGACTAACGCCTATAATCCCAGCACTTTGGGAGGCACAGGCAAGAGGAGTCCGAGCCCACTTGTTGGAGACCAGCCTGGACATCATGGAGAGACCGCCTCTCTTAAATAAATACAAAAATTAGCTGGGCATGGTGGCACATGCTTGTAGTTCCAGCTACTTGGAAGGCTAAAGCAGAAGCATCACCTGACCCCAGCAGGTCGAGGCTGTGGTGGCCGCGATCAAGCCACTGCACTCCAACCTGGGCAACAGAGACTCCTACTCAATAAAAAAGAAAAGAAAAAAAAAATGATCTGCTCAATCTTACAGATTTACAAAGAAGAGCCAGAAAAGGAACACTACCACAGGATGCAATCGGCAAAATCCAGGATGTGGGTACGTGTATGACAAATGACTCTGTTTCTTCAATAAGTGGCAAAATTTTAAAAAGAGGAACCTCTGGATGTGCACTGTACAATGAGACAACCTCTGGCCACGTATAGCAAATGGGTCTAAATTGAGAGGTGCTTTCAGTATAAAATATCAAATTTCAAAGACGTGGTATGAAAGAAATGCAAACTGTCTCATTAATAATGTGTACTCTGGTTTCTCTACAGATCGCATAAATCTTTCGACTTTTACTAAAGATTTCTGTGGAGAGGAACAATTCTGAGTCTTAACCCAATTTTTTGAGGCCTTGCACCTGCAAGGCTAACACAGTTGTGGAAAAACAGTGCTTTTATGTATTAATGTGTTTAAAATATTTTAGATATACTGGATTAAATAAACTATTAAAATTAATTTCACCATTTAAAACTACTATTTTTTTTTCCTAGTTGGAGTCTCACTCTGTTGCCCAGACTGGCGTGCAGTGGCACGCTCCCAGCCACCACAGCCTCAACCTGCTGGGCTCCAGCGATCCTGCCATCTCAACCTTCCAAGAAGCCAGAACTACAGGAGCGCACTACCACGCCCCGCTAAGTTTTGATTTATTATACATACAAGGTCTCACCAAGTTGCCCAGGTGGGTTGCAAACCAGCAGGCTCAAGTAATCCACTCGCCTTGGCCTCCCAAAGTGCTGGGATTATAGGCTGAGCCACCGAGCCAGGCCTAAAACTACTTTTTAAATGAAGCTGCCAGAAAACGTAAATGCATGCATGGCTCACATGGCATTTCTATTGGACAGTACTGCTCTAGAGTGCAAGAGACAAACACAGGACGGAGCCTTGGTTTGAATAAACCATCCCTGAAAAAAACAGGTTACTAAATCAGATATATGTCAATATTAAACAATCGCTGTTCATTTTCTCAGGTGTAATGATGTTTGTGGTTATGTTTTCAAAAGTCCTTATCTCTTAGAGATACACATTTAAAGAAGCATCTACAGCTAAAATGATCAGTGAAATTTTCTTTAAACCTTTAAGGGAGATGAAAGGTATATGAATTATAAATAGATCACATCGGCCACACGCTGAAGACTGTTGAAGCTGGCTGACGGCACATTCAGTTCATTACCCTATTTTCTCTATTTTTGTGGGTTTAAAATTTTCAATTAAAATTTTTTTTTTTTTTTGAGTTGGAGTCTCACTCTGTCACCCAGACTGGAGTGCAGTGGCTGCTCCCGGCCACCGCAGCCTCAACCTTCTGGGCTCCGGTGATCCTTCAGCCTCAGCCTTCCAAGTGGCTAGAACTACAGGCGCGCGCTACCACGCCCGGCTCATTTTGATCTATTGCAGAGATGAGGTCTCGCCAAGTTGCCCAGGTGGGTCTCGAACTCACAGGCTCAGGCAATCCACTCACCTCGGCCTCCCAAAGGCGCGGGATTACAGGCTGAGCCACCAAGCCCAGTTCAACTAAAATTGTTAAAAGTGGTATAAGAAAATGTGAGGCAGAGAGGAAGGAAAAGGTATGATGTTTTATCACCTGTAGAATTCATAAATACAGGCACAAATTGATGAGCGAGTACCTGGACGCAAGCACCAAACTAAGTGAAATCTATTGGTTCCACCTTCTTAGGAGGAAACTGGAGAAACCAGTTAACTATGTAAAAACTTGATTTTATCAGGAGATACAAAGGAGAACTCAAAGAAACCCCGGAATTTATTTACAAAAACTTCCACATTCTTCCATGTTTACACGTTAGTCACCTTCAAAGAACTCTCCGTTTGATGCAAAACATCTATTGAGATACTTTTCCACTGCTCAAAACACTTTTTGAACTTGGCAATTTGCATGCCTTTTAGTGTTTCTGCCATTTTTTATTTCACCTCTTCAACATGGGTAAAATGTTTCCCTGTGAGGACTTTTGTCAAGGCAGAAAACAAAAAAGTCACTCAGGACAAGATCAGTTGAATAGGGAGGGTGGAGCATAGGGGCCATGTTGTTTTTGGTCAAAAACTAATGAACACTCAGCACAGTGTAGGCAGGTGCAATCATAAATCACCCGTCATGAAAAGGGCAAATGTGCTGAAAGAATCTCTTAAAAAAAAAAAATTCAATGAAGCCGAATGCAGACTTTCACAATAATGCCAACTGGTACACTGATGCCAATGGGTTCCAGGAACATTTATCTAGCAGGGGAAGCCTGTAAGGGGTCCACCATCCAAAAAATAATTCCAGGTCTTTCTGGTTCCTCCTTTATAATAATCTTTCAAATACTTTCTGAAGCATACAAAAATATAAAATTATTATTTAAAAATTATTATTTAAGACAACCTACCAGAAAAAAAAGTATCAAATCTGTGTTTAAAGATTCTGAAAGCTAAAACCAATAAAGAATAGAAAACCACATTTGATGAAATTAAAGCCCACATTGTTATGAGCTATTAAATTTGAGGCCAGAGAACAACTGAGGGAGAATCCTGTATCTTTCTGCATTAGGAAGCAATCGCTTCTGCAAGAAGATATTACAAGAGAATGCACATCTACTCATTAAGCTTTTACACTAAGAGTATTTGATTATACATAAACAACTTCTGTGTTTACCTGTACTACTACAAAACTTTCCCCAAGAGAAAACTATTGACCTTCCGAACTTTAAAGCATGTTTGTCCACAATTTTTTTATTTTGAAAAATTACACATCTTTAGAAAAGTTACAGTACTTCAACAAACACCCAAATTTTTTTTTTTTTTTTTTTTTGAGTTGGAGTCTCACTCTGTCGCCCAGACTGGAGTGCAGTGACCGCTCCCGGTCACCGCAGCCTTGCCTGCTGGGCTCCAGTGATCCTTCCGCCTCAGCCTTCCGGGTTGCCAGAATTACAGATATGCGCTACCACGCCCGGCTGATTTTTTGATTTGTTGTAGAGATGAGATCTCGCTGCCCAGGCGGGTCTTCAACTCACGGGCTCAGGCAATCCACTCACCTCAGCCTCCCAAAGGCACAGCATTACAGCCTGAGCCACCAAGCCCGGCAACACCCATATTTAACAGTCTGTCTCCTTTCTTTCTTTCCTTCATTTTCTTTTGCTGTACCATTTGTTAAGTTAGTGGCAGACATAGTACTTTATCAGCAAATACTTCAGCATCTATGTGCCCAAGAACAAGGCATTCTCCTGCATAACTACAACTACCACATTTGACAATGTCAACACTGATACAATACTATTATTTAATACAGCCACTATTCAAATTCCCCCAACTGTCTTAATAATGCCCTTTGGGCCGGGTGCAGTGGCTAAGGCCTATAATCCCAGCACTTTGGAAGGCTAAGGACTGCGTGAGTTCAGGGGTTCAAGACCAGCCTGGGCAACTTGGCGAGAGCTCATCTCTTAAAAAAAAAAAAAAAAAATTAGGCATATTGGCGTGTGCCTGTAGATCGAGCTGCTTGGAAGGCTGAGGCGGAAGGATTGCCTAAGCCCAGCAGGTCAAGGCTGCAGTGGCTGGGAGCATGCCACTGCCCTCCAGTCTGGGTGACAGAGTGACACTCCAATTCAAAAATAATAACAATAATATCCTTTGTAGTATATGGAATAGTATAGTAGAACAGGTGAACAGAGGAGTTGTTTATTGTATAATCAAATACCCTTACTGCAAAAGCTTAAGGAATAGATGTACAAGCTCTTGTAGTATTTTCCTGCAGAAACAATTGCTTCCTGATATGGAAAAACACAGGATTCTCCCTCAGCAGTTCTCTGACCTCAAATTGAATAGTTCTTAACAGTGTGGGCTTTCATTAATTTCATTAAATGTGATTCCTGTTGCTATATTAGTTAACCTTTAAGAATCTCTGACAAGCCGGGCTCCATGGCTCAGCCTGTAATCCCGCACCTTGGGAGGCTGAGGTGAGTGGATTGCCAGAGCCCGCGGGTTCAAGACCCGCCCAGGCAACTTGGCGAGACCTCATCTCTACAATAAATCAAAAATTAGCCGGGCGTGGTAGCACGCACCTGTAGTTCCAGCTACTTGGAAGGCTGAGGCAGAAGGATCGCCGGAGCCCAGCAGGTCAAGGTTGCGGTGGCCGGGAGCGGCCACTGCACTCCAGTCTGGACGACAGAGTGAGACTCTGACTCAAAAAAAAAAAAAGAATCTCTGACAAAAACCTAATTTTTTTTCCTGGAATGCTGTCTTATCTTTTAAATAAATAATAATTGTACATCTCTGAATGCTTCAGGAAGTATTTGAGAAAGTATTAAAAGAGGAGACCCAAACTTTTTTTTAAGAGACAGTATCCTGCTATGTTCCCAGGCTGTTCTTGTTTTGTATTTTTATGGAGAAAAAGCACACAAATTTTATTCATTTATTTCTTTTTTCTTTTTGAGTTGGAGTCTCACTCTGTCGCCCAGACTGGAGTGCAGTGGCTACTCCCAGCCACCACAGCCTCAACCTGCTGGGCTCTAGCGATCCTTCCACCTCAGCCTTCCAAGTAGCCGGAACAACAGGCGTGCGCTACCATGCCCGGCTAGTTTTTTTTTTTTATTTATTGTAGAGACGAGATCTAGCCAACTCGCCCAAGTGGGTCTCAAACCTGCGGGTTCAGGCAATCCACTCGCCTTGGCCTCCCAAAGTGCTGGGATTACAGGCTGAGACACCGAGCCCGGCCCACAAATTTTATTAACAAGAGAATCTCAGAATGTGATTACTCCTAAAATTTTCCTTTCATAGTGATCTTTATATTTCTATGTTTTCTAGCAATCTGATGTCTTCCAGCAACCTGTTTTAGTACTGTTTAGATACTGCTTAAATTTTTAAAACTGGCCAGGCATGGTAGTATGTGACTGTGTTCTCAACTACTCAAGAGGTTGAAGCAGGAGAACTGCTCGAGCCCAGAGTTTGAGGATGCAGTGAGCTATGACAGGACCAGTGCACTCTGGTCTGGGTGACAGAGCAATATTCTCTCTAAAAACAAACAAAAAAGAATTTCAAATGGTGTAAATTCAACCTGTTTCCCAAATACCTGATTTAATTGGATTTAGGAGAATGAGAAGAGTTCAAGGAGGCTTACAATCACAGTGAGTTCAAACACATTCACAGAAATATACAATTATACATCTAATTTTAGAGAGTATTTTAACTCCAGTGTCTTTGGTAATCACTTTAGAGTTACTTTCCTGGACAGCCCCAGCCCATAAAAACAAGGACAAAGTCCACCTCTCTTGTGGCTTACACATCAGGTCCACAGGATTACAAAGCACTATAGGAAAGCAGAGACCTCACCTCAGCATGGACAGAGTTGATATGATACTTGACACCACTCTCTGACCCAAATTCTTTCTGGCATAGAAGACACTTGTATTTTCCAGCCACAAAATTTCCCTATTTCCGAGAGAGAAACAAAAGAGAATTACTGGTCAATTCAGAAACACATACATGGGTCACGTGTAAGAATTGTTTGAGATGAAAAGAGGGAATTCTACTTAATCAAAGATAAGAAGGAAAGAGATCCAAAACATCAGTGTATTAAGAACCAGCTTGGATAGACTATCACCAATATAACTCTATCCTAATGCTATGAGTCTTGTTCACCCTTACAGTCTTCCCATAGAATTTGATCACCTTCGTGATCTTAATGGCAGAGTTAGTGTCTTCCTCACTCAAGAATTCCACAGAGCCACAGCCCTGGTACTGGCCCATGACTCTATCCTTTGACATGTGGGTGTTGACTACTGGCCCTGCCGGGACAAATAGTTCTCACAGCAGTAGTCCGCTAACCTTTTCATGCAAGCCTCACGTACAGCGTTATCGTGGTTCTGCTCGGAGATTAGCCCAGCAGCCATGGTAAAGAACTGCCATCCTCCCCTCTCTCCTAATGCAACTCTGTACTTATTGCCCACCCAGCTTCAGCACAGCCTGGTGTCCCCCCACTGTCATGCGACAGCCTTGCACCTCTACCTTCTCCTGTTCCCGTCACTTCACGTCATGGGCTCTTGGTTCCTCCCTCAAAATGACTGACTTCCCAAAGTTCACCAGAGGCACCGATGTGTGATTCTTCCCACTATGATCATTGTTGCAGAGAGTACCATTCACAACACTCAGCTCAAGGGCTGAGGAACTGGGATCATGATGAGAAACTCCTCATCATTCCTGGACAAATCTGGTTTACATGCCTATAACTCCCTGCTGCTTCAACTGAGACTTCTCTCCCCTCCTGAAGCTTCAGATTGCCACGGTGCTCATTTTGGGTGAGGAGAATGGGATGTAAAGTGGCAGCATTTCCCATGCTGGTGGGTTTTAGGACACCTGGGTCAACATGGAAAAGTTTCAGTGAGGTGAATGGCTGTTAACCTGACAGCCTATCCCACCTCCCATGCCCAGAGGCCAAAATAGTACAGATGGGTTTAAGAGAGATCTTCACCAATCCACACAAGCACAAGAAAGTTGACTCTAGAAAGTTTAAGACAGGGCCAGGCCAGTGGCTCACGCCTATAATCCCAGCACCTTGGGAGGCCAAGGTGAGAGGAATGCCTGAGCCCACAGGTTCGAGACCAGCCTGGACAATTTGGTGAGACTCATCTCTACAAATCAAAAAACTAGCCAGGCTTGATGTTGCGTACCTGTAAGTTCTAGCTACTTGGAAGGCTGAGGCGGAGGCTGCTGTGGCCGTAAGCGTGTCATTGCACTCCAGCCTGGGCGACAGAGTGAGACTCCAACTCAAAAAAAAAAAAAAAGTTGGACCGGGCTCGGTGGCTCAGCCTGTAATCCCGCCCTTTGGGAAGCCGAGGTGAGTGAATTGCCTGAGCCTGCGAATTTGAGACCTCATCTCTACAATAAATCAAAAAAAAAAAATTAGCCGGGCATGGTAGTGCGCGCTTATAGTTCCAGCTACTTGGAAAGTTGAGGCGAAAGGATCGCCAAAGCCCAGCAGGTCGAGGCTGCGGTGGCCGGGAGCAGCCACTGCACTCCAGTCTGGGCGACTGAGTGAGACTCCAACTCAAAAAAAAAAAGGTTGGCCAGGCTCAGTGGCTCAGCCTGTGATCCCACATCTGTAGTTCCAGCTACTTGGAAGGCTGAGGGGGAAGGATCGCCGGAGCCCAGCAGGTCAAGGCTACGGTGGCCGGGAGCGTGCCACTGCACTCCAATCTGAGCAACAGGGTGAGACTCCAACTCAAAAAAAAAAGTTTAAGGTCCAATAAAACAGGGCAGAGTCAGGAGGAAGAAGCTAGTTCTCTGGAACTCAGAATGAATATATTTTTCTCCAAATTCTTTTAAATTGATATGATTTACAACTGTGTTGTTCTTTTCTAAGTATTGGACATACTCTGGCATCTCACCCAGTGACACACCAAGAATCTTTGGGACATAAAAAACTAAAGCAGCCTCTGAACATAACAGTAAACAGGACAACTAGCTGTTCACCTAAACTGAATTCTCTTCCATGTCAGATTATTTTATGGGACAAGTTAAGATATGAAGTTCAAAGAGTTACAAACCAATGGACAAGAGCCCAGGTGAGCTTTAAGGCCAGATACACTACTGTAGACTGCCTCACAACCCTGAAAAAGAGAAGAAATAATGTGAAGACTATGCCAAATAGGTCCCTTCTGTTAGCAATCTGCCATTTACACTGACCGACTCTACATTTGAAGGAAGAAGGCCATCAAATAGTCCCAAAAAAGTATCCACATGCAATGACAAAAGAAGGAATACCAAGAAAGGTAAAAGGAAAACATCAGCAAGTGAGCAAGTTATCGTGAAAAGATTAAGCCACTACCCTTCCCTGGTACTTTCTCGAACACTTAAGAAAAACACGGAAATATATACAGTTAAACATTTTAAAACTTTCCCCCTGCTTACCTGCATTTCTAATTTCTTTCTTAGTGCAAACGCGTGTCCCAGCTCGTTTACATTTACCCCTCCCCCAAGTACTGGGTCTACTACAGCTGTGGTAGCTCAAAGATGACTGCAAATTCTCTGCCACTCTTCCCATCAAGAAGCGGAGACTATTCCTATTCACCCTTCCTCTGCATTGGGTCAGCCCTGTGGTCATCTGCCAGCAGCACACCATGGAGAGATGCTGTGCACATTCCCAAGTTGGCCTTAAGAAGGCTGCATCTGCTGCTGTCATGTTTCAGAACACTCTGCAAAGGCAGTCACTATAGCCCCACTGGCAAGCCGACGACCCACTAGATAAGGGGGATAAGCTGGATGCAGCTACAGAGAAGCCATCTTGAATATTCTAGCCCACCTGAGCCTCCAGCTGAAGGCACCCTCTTGAGTGATTCCACCTAATTCCCTGTATAGCCGAAGAACTACCCTGCTGAGCCCTGGTAGAACTATTCATCTACACACTATGAACAAATAAAACAATCGTTTCAGGCCACTGAGGTTCAGGTGCTTTGTCACAAAGGAATAAATATCAAACAACATTTACTAAATCAATGAATGAGAAGAAACCACCTGGTTAGGACACCGAATGCGATGATACTTCTTGATATCTAACTTCCATTTGTGGAGTACTTCCTGGCTGAAGGTAGGCAGCCCAGGGCGGGTATATTTTAACTACAAGACAAGAAACATTTTATTAGCGGAATCCAACCCCCAGCCAAGATATCCCAAAACTTTTACACTCAACTCTTCAGCTTATGCAGTTCTGGAATCCACAAGTATACATGCCTACACAAAAAAACTACAAGAGGTAAGACCATCTCCAAAGTTGCTAAAACTGGGAAACTATAGTTTGTAAAACTAAACTGCTGTTTAGTCTTAGAAAGTTTTTAATCTTAACAGAAGACAGGAGACTTTCATATATAACATTTCATCTACAGCCAAAAAAAGAAAAAAAGCTATAGTGGATTATAGAGTTAAAATATTTGTTAAAAAGAGAAAGGGACATAAAAATATCCATTCATAGCCGGGCTCGGTGGCTCAGCCTGTAATCTCGTGCCTTTGGGAGGCTGAGGTGA